TTAAAATCATTTCAAAGGAAGCTAGCACATACTTACTCCATAATTAGTGGCTCATCTTGAAAAGTCCTATTGAGTATGGTCATATTGTTAGGATCTGCAAAAAGATATATAGCAGTCTTTTTATATTACTTTTGATATCTACACTTAGGAAAAAATATTCTTCTACTCTTTTCAAGATTTATCTCTAATTTATTCCAACTATTATTATTAAAGAGATACTATAAATCTAGTTCAAATGAACAAGCTTGCAAAGACAAAATATTGGGAAGTACATTCTACAGTGAAGACTAGCATTACAATAACTTCCTTTTGAGGTATGCATCTAAATATTTGCTAGCTGAGTCTTTGTCTTTACACAATTTAGTACTAGAGAGGCTGACAGTTAACAAGGATTTTGTGTAAAGAAGGCCATATATGCAAAACTTCCTGGCTCTAAAATGCACATGCTTATATACAAGCTTTGTACATGGTACTCCTTCTGTAAATATTTATTGATTTAATGAATATAATGTATTGAGGTTACTGTTTACGTTCCCAAATGGTGCAGACAACACGACTGAAATTTGACTCCAGGAACAAAGTTGCCTATTTAGGTATAACTAATTGGCTTTTCAGATATGGCTTGATGATTTGTGACTAGGGAAGGTAGACTGACTCTCCAACTATACTTCAACTTTGTTGTGCTTTCCTGTGCTGAGGAGACTAGAAACCAAAAATAGCATTTTCCAGATATCGTTGCATCTGAGATGCTGAATAAAAGTTAAGCCTTGCCAATCAGATACACTGTGAGTCTTAAAGGCATGAATGAGGCAAAGGCTGTTTCTCTGCTATTTCTATCTGTGTATGCTCACTGAATTTGGGAGTATCAAGAGACCAGGTGCAGCATTCATTTTGCTAGGAGAAATCACTGCAGGCACAGCAAGCATCATTCTGGCAGCAGTTGTGTAACTAGCCACTTCTGATAGTGGAAAGAGGCAGAAGCTTTTCTGATGATACTGGGATTGCTCCTGAAAGCTTATTATTTAGCCATCCCAATAATTCTGTGAGCCATTAAAACCCTTTAATAAATCTCTGTCCTCTTTAAGCTAGTAAGAGTGAAGTTTGTTAGTGAAGTGACCCCTGCCCAGTTCAGGGTTGAAAAAGAAAAATCAGGAAATAAACTTTGAAAAAAGTTTTTACAATTATTGACACCCAAGAACAGTATTTTTGAACTGATTTCAGAACAATATTTTGTTACATTTACCTTCATATTCAATGATAAATATTAAAAATTTTAAAACAAATTCACCTAACGTTTGATTTTGTCCCCAGAAGATAACAGCTCCTAATTCACTCTTGGCATAATTTTTGGGAAGATATGTCAGAAGGACATCCATTTGAGAATCTCCATCATAATCCCCAGGGACTACACTTGTTATCAATGCACTGTGATTCCTAAAAGAAACAAGCATTTACAAATATCAGACAAGTTGTAATGGAAAAGGACAACTCTGTATTTCTACCATAAAAAAATATTTTCAATGAAAAACTTAAAACCTCACATAACTGACCGATTGCCTTCTCTTTCCTATCTTTTCACCCCAGATGTATTTAGACCTCTTTGGTCTACAAAAGAGTTCAGAATGAATGCAGAAGAGTCTCAAGAAACAAGAGAAAACTGAAATATGTCAAGAGAAAACGTGTTTATTATGTTCAAGCAATGGCTAGTATAGTCCTTCTATATAGTTCCTTTGTCAAGGACACTAAGACATT